TGTAGCTTTGTGATCTGATATGACTCACATCCTGATATGACTTGTGGCTTTCATACATGTTACCTGGTTACTGCTTTTGCCACCAGAACACCTCTCTTGAAATCTAAAATTGCTGGAGTTAAATTTTCCAGGGAATGTTTGTGGGACCTTGAACCTTTGAGGTTTAGGCCTTCTTGTCTTTCCATTCTGTACTGTGCTCCGAACCCAGACTGCCTTTGCTCTCAACCATGTCCCCGGTAGCCCCAGGAGATTCATGTGCTGAGAAATCCTTACTGGACTTGAATATTTGTATATCGTTTTTTAAATCTGGTTTTAAAAGGAGTAGGATGGGGGTCTTATTCCAGCAAAACAGGACAACATATGGGAAGTATGGAAAGGGAATAAATGAGTTATTAATTTGAAATTGCAGTGGAAATGTCAGATATCAAAGTGCAAATATCAGGTTGTCTGCTTTTTTTTTTTTATTTATTTCTTTTTTCCCCAACTTGGCTTAAGTACTGTGTGTTCTTTAATGAATATAAACCCCAGATCCTCACCTTGTATTTCATTCATGGCATTGAAACAGTGTAATATGCTTACCTATTATACTTTTTCTAACATTAATAAATGGAACAATAAATGGAACTTCAAGAAATTTCAGAATAATCATGTACAATAAAGCTTCCAATGAAGAAATACTGTATGAAATTGAGTGATTGTTATGAGTGACATGAAGACAAATGGTACATACTCAGTTTCATGGGTGGAATGAGGCTCAAGTTGGTAGAAAAGACTAGTTTTTTGGGAAGCGGATGAGTCATTCTTTGCTTGCTACAGTTGCAAAAATAGAGATAAATTTGCTCCTCAAATGCAAAGACCCAGGACTGTAACAAATTAAAAAATGAAGAAATCTCTTATTCTGTCCTTCTGTGGGATTTGCTTTGATGATACTATGTTTCCAAGGGGGAGGAAAATGATTAAACCATAGAAAAAAGTGTCTGTTTCACTGCATTTTGACAGCCCTTCTTTAAGCCCTTGAAAAAGTTTTGAAAGGGACTGGAAAAAGTGGTTTTGCCCCAAATGTCCCTTTAGTCTTTGCATGACAGATGTTAATACAGTGAAATCAGCTGTGTAGTGCTTGCATTCTCCACTTGAGAGGTGGCTAGTCTTGTTTAGAAGCAGTAGTTTACATGCCTGCGGACTTTATCTCCCTGAAACGACAGGTAGGCAAGAATGGGAACGCTGGCATTCTGAAGCTGTTTTCCAGCTTGCCACATGGTGTACCTTCCAGTCTTCTGTTTAATTATTGGCTCAGCTGGATATGGAACAGTGAAGTATTGTAGGTCTGGTAGTATGAATGCTTAATACTTCAAATTCATCTACCTGGAAAATCCTGTAGCCACTTGATCAGTGGTTTCTAAGAGTGTAAGATGACATTAAGATGCTGCTGGTGCTAGTGGAGTCTCCTTTAAGTGGTACATATATATGTATACTTCTATGTACATCTCCTTTTTGACAGTCATTGATGGTGTCATTTAAAGCTGCTAGACTTCTTAGTTGGAATCCAGTTGTTACTAGAGCAGAAGCCCTTTATGTGCAAACCAAGTGTGGTATCGGTTTGTTTTTTTTCTTCTGTATATTAGTAGTGCAGTGAAATCCCAGTTTCTCAGAGTTGCAATTCAGCATCCAATCTAGACTGAACTGTGTCCCAGATAATCCCGGTTAATATTTCAGAATTCCAAACTAGTTCTTCTGAAAACTAATGTGCACAATTCCTTTAACATCGTTAAATAGCTCCTTTTATATCATTAGACATTGAAATCCTAAGACAGAGACAAAATTTTGGATTTAAGGGACTCACTTGGGTTTATTTTTAATTAACACTTGGTTAGAAAATCATTAGAAATAACTATCTTTTGATAGAATTAAAATCTAAAAATAGCTGCTTGTAGTTCATGTGCCTTAAATTCTCAATACTACAGGAAAAATAATACCAGCTTTTGACCACTTAAAAAAAAAAACCACAAAAACTAACAAACAAACAAAAAAGCCACCCAAAAAACCACCCAGGTGTTCATGCCACAATACCTAAATCTCAGAACACCACATACTTTTTGTTTACAAAAACTGGGAGCCTCCTGTTTGAAGGACTTTTTATTCTTTTGAGTAAAACTAATGTGAACGAGGAGGGGGAGTGACAGAGCAGCTTGGTGAGCACCTGGCAGCCAGCGAAGGTCAACCCACCACAACATCTAACGTGGGCTTTCCATAAACGGGAGTACATAAAGTTAGGAATTACTTAGAAAAATCTATTACCGGGTGGTAAATGTTCAGAGAGGCTTTGTCTGGTTTGGGGTGCAATATATGTAACTCTACCAATAGGAAAGGTAGAGGCCAGCATGTATTTAATTTGCAGAAGGAAAGAGTACAACTGTTCTAGGTTTAGATCGACATAGGTAGGTCTTTATCTTTAGCCAATATTCATCCAAATTCTTTGTCTTTTGCTATATTTTAGCCATCTGATGCAACACCTTTGAAGGCCAAAAAGAAAAATCTAAACTCTTACTCACCGACAACAGGAACACGCCAAATGAGTCCATTTTCGTCTCCCACGAGTCATAGTGCACAAGATTTCAGAAATCACCCATCAAATGGTTAGTTGAACGTTCTGTCTTTCTTACTGCAACATTTTTCTGGTTACTGGCTTGATTTAGTAACATGTCTCATGTGGTATGTTTGACTTCTGTTTCCTCTTAAAGAATTTTAATCTCCTTTGGAAAAGCTGATGTTGAGTTTTAAAGCTTGAATCTTTTCAGTGTAAATCTTGGGGGTGTTTATGAAACAAGTTTTGCTTTCTGTTGATCAATATTAAAAACGTTTGACTTTGGCTCAGCAAAAAAACCCCGCGCCGGCATTTTTGTCAATAATTCCGTTAATTCCACTGGTTAGGAATGTTTATGCTAGCCATGTCCTTTGTTTGCTTTCTTTCTAAGCCCCAGCTTTCATTGGCAGAACTGGTATGTGCTGCTGACAGTGACTTTGTTCTTCTTTGGATTATAGGGGCAGATGTTCTGAGGTTGCTGTGTGCTATGTGCTACTTGAGATTATTGCAAGGAAGTCTCTTGCAAGGTGGTGTGATCCATTGTTTATAATACACAGCTCAGGTCTGCGCTCTCTTGTGGTCCGGAGAGCTGGAAAGAAAAGATGTGTGCAGTTGATGCATGTTTAATTCTGTGGCCTTTTAAGAACTATGTTGAGATTTGCAATGTAAGTCCTGGTTTGTGTATTTCCAGGTTTCCAGTGGTAAATGCTTGCACGTATGCGTGCATACATACATATAGCATTTCTTAGCTCCGAGTCTTTCTCTATGAATATTGAAAGTTACGTAGATTTTACCAATCAAAGCTAAAAGGGAAGTTCTGTTAGTTAACCTCTTCTGCTTTGCATTCTTTTATGTAATTTTTTGCTATTGTTTTTTCATAGTAAGGCTCTTCAAGGCAATTTTTAATTAATCTAAGATAACACTGCATGTAATTTGCTTTCAGAAAATATTCCTTTATATAATTACATTATTTCCGGTTCACTTTAGAATATGTGTCCACTTCGTTAACACAGTCACAGTTTTTGATGTAGACAAACTATGACTGCTGCTCAAGAAGTATATTTTCAGTAGACTAACCTGCTTTTATAGCTATATAGGTTGTGGGCTTTTTAAGTATTAAGGAACCGTTAGGTCATCTCGTGTGACTTTTTTATATTACAAAAAAAAAATACAGAGACTTTCTTGTCATCTTTCCAATATAGAGCCCAAGAGCTCAAATAAAAATTTCTTTGCAGTACAATTCCTAGAAAGATGGTTAAGTCTTGATTTGAAGATCCAAATTATTTAAAAAATAATAATAAGAATAAAAATCCATTACATCCCTTTTTAGCAAGTTCCTTGTTCAATTACCTTCACTGTTACAAAAAAAAAAAAAATTCTCCCGTCTGATTGTGAATTTGTCTGGCTTTAATTTTCAGCCATCAGTTCTTGTTATGCCTTTTTGTTGGGTTAAAGAGCTTTTTATGCCCCATATATTTTGGAATTTATGTGCAGTAATTGAGGCCTCACTAACATTCATGAATTATGATGAGTAGAAATATTCTGAGCAGGATAGAATAACCACTGTTTGAAATTTATCTAGATGTCTGAAGATTTTTGCACTAGTTATTTCACCATATGCTCTCATGATGGATCTACAAAAGTGGATTTTTCCTTCCAGGAAAAAAGAGATTTTGTGGTTTGGGTTTGGTGGTGTTTTTTTTTTTAAAGGAATGTGATCAAGAAATTTTGGGATTCTGTTAAAGCTGTCTGACCAAAAAATGAAAATTACTGGAAGCCTTCAAGCTGAAAATACTACAATCTATGAGCATTACATCTCTTTTCCTTAATAAAAATAGCAGAGAACTTAAGGGAGCATGGAAGTATCAGGCATTTTAGTGACAGTATAGCTATGCATAGTTACAGGCCTGTGTGCAGAGGTTTTGTTTTGTTGGGTTTTTTTTTTCCCTAATTAGTAGTCATGCTAGGAAACTAAACAGAAGCAGCTATATCCTAATTCTTTCTTGTACTGGCAGTCTTCATTATCAGCTGGCTTTGTGTCCTTGTTACCTGTTTATCAAACAGTTTTAACACAGTCGGGTTTTTCATAAGCCCTTGCTTATGAAAAAATACCTGGTGTATTGAAAAGACCTCTATCTTAGAACACACTCCCCTTCACAAAATTTGAGATATATGCAGCCAATGTGTTTAATTTTGTGTCCTTTTGAGAACTACGTTAAGATTTGCAGTGAAAGGCCTGATTTATGGACTTCCCGGTTTGGGATGGAGGGAGTAAACCTCTGTCTACCAGAAAGTAAGGATCTTTGCCACTGTGCTTACCCTGTCTTGTGAACAATTCCTCCTCTCAAAACCAATGGCTGCTTCTTCATTCCTAAAAAGATGATTATTTGGCACAGTGGGTATCTCCACACTCCCACTTACTTCACATCCAGAAATCTTAAGTGACATTTAATGAGCCCTTCAAAGTATTGACCCCTGCATTCTTAAAAGACTATAAACAGTCTCTTTTTGGGATTATTTTCCTCTTCAACGATGTTGCTTAAAACATTGTCCTAAGTATTCCCACAGATACCCCTGGTTATGTGTTGAATTTTCTCCTTGGAATTTAAACCGTTAGACAGCAGTCTAACCCCGCTGTTTTCCAACTTTCTTCTTACTGTGAAAAGTAACTCTTCCAGTGTGCAGCATTGACTTAGTTTGTCAGGGAACTTATGTCTTTGACATATAAATTTATCTGTTCTAATTTTCTACAGAGAGAGAAGTATTTTCAAAGTATTCCCAGGTCAGATTTCCATGGCGGTCTCTGTTTTCATCAGTAAAAAGGAAATTTTGTGTTTGCATGTATTAACTCCTACACCAGTCTCAGGATTTGAAATGAATGACACGACATGGATCCATTGAAATGGACGAAATGAAGAGCCTATGTGTCTTCCCGCACTGCTCGTGGTAAATCTGAATCTCTTCATCCTGTACGAAGAAATGTTTCAATGAGAAGAGCTGCCAATAGCTGTTCTCCGTCAGATCAGAGATATGGCTGTTGTTAGTGCGATCAATTGGTATACCTGTACTGGCAGCTGTAATGTCGTGGAAAGGTCAGCTCATACCGTACTTCAATTAATTGTTTTGTCGTGGTGTGGCATCCTATGTTCTCACCCAGAATGGAGCAGTAAGTATTCAGATTCAAGCAAAGTGACCGTGCGTTATACCTAGCCGCTGCTGATCGCTGAATTAAGATTGCCTGTATCCTGAGGGAAGAATCCGATTAGAACAATCTATGTCCCCAGTGACTACAGTCTGAGGCACTGGGAGCAGTACACTTTCTGTTAGTGTCATATGGTTATAACACTATGGTTATAGCACATACCACATCACAAAAGCAGTTCTGAAAAAAAACCCAACTTCTACTTTTTTATGTATAAATGCAGATTTTAATTTTGTGGCTGTCTGCAGAATATGAAACTATACCTCAGCCCGACTGGATATCCACCTGCACTTTAACACTTATCTTTGCAAAAAGCTTTTGAAATGGTATATAATGATAGCAGATACAAAATTAAAAATGCTATGGCCCTTTAGATATGTTCTCTTGAATATCCCTACATGGTTGTAATTACCTGCTTTAATGACCTTCTTTAGTTTTAGTCGATGCTTTTTTGGTGACACAACACATGATAATACACAAACGTTTAAATCTACTACAAGTTTTAAAACTTTTTCAGCATCTCTGCATTTGTATTACATGCCTTATCTCTTAGATGAAAGAAAAAAGGGGCAAAATGTCTTGCATTAAAATGCCTGTATATTAGGATGTCAATGGGAAAGGTGAACATGTACTGTATGTCTATACAGATATTAAGTATGGACATAGGGGAACATTCTTTTTGCCTATAAAAAGACACATCACATGACCATAGCTGACATTTAGATGGATAATTATTCAGTAATGTAGTACTAGCCATCTTTTTTTTTTTTTTTGTGGGTTCATATAGCTACCAGATGGTAGTATACAAGGCTTCCTTTTATATCACAGGTTTCAGGTTGTCCTTTTGAACCGACAATTGCTTTTCTCCTTCGGAAAAGACACTTTTATTTTAAGTGTTGTGGTGTTTTAATAGATTATGCATATCACCTGTAAGTAAGGTGTTAGAGTATAATCAATGTTCTATTTTTCTGTGACCAATATGTAAGAAAACAACAGAATAAAAATTATTACAAAATGAATGCCATTAGCTATGAAAACTTATTTTGCCTTATGTGAAATACACAAAGTAACATACATCTATCTCACTGAGGAGACAGATTGAAATTACTTGTCTTATGAACATGACTTTCTTTTGAATAACAGTGTGGAGGAGTGCCTCAAAAAAGACTAAATATTTACGGAATGCTAAGATTGTTTCAAAAGTAACATTTATTTTAGGAGAAGACATGAACCAACCCAGTTATAACATAGTGTGTCTTTATGATGTTGTCCTACATATGTCCTATTGGTCTGCCTGATAATTCATATATTGCCTAACTACCTCACAACCCAGATAGTGTGTCTTTATGACGTTGTCCTACATATGTATATATTGCCTAACTACCTCACAACCCATTTGTGACATAAATTTCCAAAATAACAGAACACTGAATCTTCTCTAGTTTCTCATCTAACTAACATATTGTTTGCCTAACATATTTTTAAGATTTATTTTAAATTGTTTTATTTTTATTCAAATCAATCCAGGGTTTTGCCATTCCATAGTACTGGTCTAAAAGTAGTATCTGTTTGATAATTGATGACTGATTAAGTGCAAGTTCTATGAGTACTTAGATTTAAAATGAAATCTTTTGGGATCTTAACCTTTAGCTACTGTAGTGGAACAGCTTAAACTTTTATAGCATCTTATCACTCTGAGGTATTTCTAAATGTTTTACAAAATATTAAAATTAAAAATTTATCCTTGAGTGCTGATACTTGTATGTCATAATTTGGATCTAGCAAGAAGAAATCAAAGTGGTTAATGCTTAGTGTGGCTTCTCTTTTTTAATCTGAGACGTATTACAGTGAAACGTGAAAAGCACCTCTTTCCGGAGGGTCTGTTCTAGCATCGATGCATTTGTTAGGGCCACGGTAAAGAGCTGTTATGGTTTCCTCCAAATCTTTCACTGAGAGGTGAATTTTACCTTACAGCAAGAGCTGCTGAATAGGAAGCATTCATAAGAACGTGTATGTGTCTGTTGGAGGGACAGTGGATAAGAACTAATTGAAAACACGTTGTGAATTTCTTTGGCACCAGAAAAAAAAAAAAAAAGTCTTTCTTGGGTTTTGGCTAGATGAGTGTAGTCTGATTGGCTACAAGTGCAGTGAAGTCTAAAGCTTAATTACTAGTATGCAATTCTGAATCACTAATTGTCAAAAGCACTAATGATCTCGTTTAAGTGGAAAACTTATCAGAAAAAAAGAATGAACACATGAATTATTCCTCTCCTCCTTTGTGTGTATGCATACACCTCCACCATTTTGTCTTTAATAAAAATCAGAGCCAAAAGAAATCCACTGCACGTTGTCCAAAAAAGGGACCTTTACACTGCAGTAAAAAATGAGAGACTGAGTGTGTGACTGATACTGTAGAGGCGGGAAATTCTTAAGGTGGAAGTTACAAAAACTCCACACTATATGATGTCTTCAACTTCAGCCACAACTAAAGAGAAATTGTTTCTGCTATTTGGATGTGACCTCTTTATTGCTGAAACCTAGACAGATATAACACTTATAGCGTTGAAAGGTGACCGTATAGACTGTGTGGAGCACAATATCATGACTAGTTATGGTCTCCATAGTTTCAGTAGATTCACCAAAGACTATTGTACTGTGGGATCCTATCAAATGTGACAGTATATCCTGTTTTTTAAGGATTAGTTAGGAGGAATGAAGTACTTTTTTCTGCTAGTCCATCACGGTCCTGATGTGCTAATTGGAGGGCAAGCAGAATTGACAAGCTTTAAAAACAATAGTAATTGATAGACAAGATAAAATTTTAATCTCTTTTTGTTCTAATGCGATTTCTGTCTGAATTGTATAGGTTGTGATAAGTTGTGTAAATAGATGTAAATTCAGAAAATCTTTTCTGATCAGAGGCGTATTGTTATACATAACAATGTACATAATGAGGCCTTTGTAAATGCTGTTGAACATTGTCAAGTAGATAGCAGCCAGTGAGCCAAAGATGTTATTTTAGTGCAGCACTAACTTTCTTAATCTGATCAGCATCACTGAAAACATCGCCCTGTCCACCTGCTTTGGGAAAGCAGTCTGTGTTATATGCTTGTCTTGGAATCATTTAAGAATCATTATCATTTAAGAATTCCCAACCTACAGTGACAGAAAGGATGTCCGCCAACAACACCACAGGTTTTATTAACAAATCCATGGGAATGGACTTTTGTGGTAATACTCTGTTCCTGTTTCCTGATGTAAACATGCAACTGCTCAAAATATCAGTGCACTGAAATGTAGAAATATGACTCGCCATGCAGAATAATGGCAACTGGCATGTGATTTATCATGCCCCATCATATGACAAGCTAGAATATTATATTGTCGTTATAGCATGCCAGAGCCTTTGGACGTAATTTGCAGTATCTCTTTGTAGTTGTTTACAAGATGGAATTGGGGACCAGGCACTTTTTATTAAAGGAAAATGGAGGTTTCATTGCTCAGTCATTATAGTATTTTCATGATAATGCTCTGTGCTAATATGCTGTATTTAGGCAGTTAATAGGATGAAAAGCTTATGAGTAGAACACAGTAACTATGTGTCAGAATTATACTAACTTCCAGTTATTAATACTATAATCCTAAGGTTTCCACAAACATAAATGTAATGTGAATTGATGAGAGGTCAAATTACACAAGAGCAAATTACAGTGAAATTAAGAGTGTTTCATTACAAGGGAATCTGTCCCGCTTCATGAGTGAGTTTTGGTTTTTTCTCTTCCTAAAAGGTCATTGAACAGTCAAGGTTCATACTAATGCCTCTGTCATGTGCTTCAAATGCTCAGTATCTTATTTTTGTCTTTATTGTTTCTTTTCTTTCTTGTGAACCTCCTAGGAGATGGAGCTGAGCAGAATCATTCAGAAAGCGGATTATCCAGAAGAGGGCAGCCTCAAACAGAGGAGGATGCGTAAGTGTATTAAGTGCGTTGCGGGTGCAGTGCCGTGATTTTTACTTACGAAAGAGCAATATTTCATACAGAATTAAATTAATAGCAATTATTTTTTAATACTTCAAATTCCATGTGATTGGGTATTCAAAGGGACTGACTGGCAGTTGTAGGCACAGATTAATGCAGGGTTCGCAATACAACTGTCCAGCCAGTTCTGTCTTGCACTGGTAGTGTGGGGCAGATGACACTGCCAGTTACAGGAGTCACACTCATTACTACACAATGAAGTATCATAATTAAACTACTGAAAGAAAGGTATGCGTTGCCTTTCCAGACTGTTCTGAAAGCGTACATTCCTTTATCATATTTTTGGAGGCATTATGCAGGACCCTTTTTTATTAAAAACTAGGCACAGATGGTCATGGTGAAACTTCATGTTTGCTTTGCAAAATCTTGTAAAATTCTTGTCTTTTCTGACACAGTCTTGTTTCAAGCTATAAGCTTCCCGACATTAATGAGCAGTCCACAGTTAGTAAAGCACTTATTTAAGTGTTTCAGGTGAAGTCTCTGATAAACTACTTTCCTAAACTTGATAGATGTGAGGAAGGAGAAATGATAAAATGTGTTAAAAGTAAGGCTGCTAGCGTCTCATTTTGTTAGTATTGCTTGATCTTTTCTGTTACAGAAAACATATTTAATTGCTTATAACATTGCCAAATCTCAGCTGAAAAGTGAACTGAAATTTTCTGTACCAACAGTGAGATGTCAGGCTTAAATGCATTATCTATTTCAGCCAAAACAAACACATCCATCCCTAAGAGTTAAACAAAGGAAATATTTGGTTTATCTATGATAGAACTTGGTGAAAAAGTGGAAAGCTGTGAATCTCTAAGTTAGATGGTGTCAGGATACTTTTCATCTTTATGGGAAGTTACCCAATTCGGAAATCCTGGAAGTTACGAGGTTTTTTTTAATATGGAAATTGTATATGCTCATTAAAACTACTTTGAGTTTAGGCTTTAGTCGAGCTAAAGATCTGAAAGTTTCCTTCCTCAATGAGCATGTTTGTACTTCTTGCTCCTAATAAAATATTATCCTAGATAATCCCCTGTCCATTTCCAACCTTTTTACTCAACTGAAATTTCATTCACCAGACACTCTTGTGATCTCTTATTAGCAAATTTTTTGAAAAAAAAAATAATATTCCTTATTCTCATTCTTCTTCAATACTGTCTACATTTTTGTTTTTGAAATCTTATTATCCTGTTGTGTTGTCCTGCCTTTTTAGTTGATGCTTCAACTTGTCCGCTGGTGCAATCTTGACGTGTATCTTTGAGATCTTCACGAGAAAGTCTAATTCATGGCTCAGCATCAGCATGGCTATACCACATCTCTTCTTCTCTCCTCTACAACTTTTTTTTTTTTTTATCATTCTGTGTAATATGTCTGTCCTTTATTTCGCCGGTGCCTGTGTGTCCAATTCCAATTGGTATATAAATTCTCCTGTCTGTAGGTCGGGCACACTTTCTCTCCCAAAATCTGAGGTGCATTTCCTGTTACCCCAATTTGTCACTAAGAGCTCAGCTCTCAGTGTAATGCAAACCTCCATTGCCCACATACTCCTTTGTTGCGCAGCTTCTTTGTGCTTTCCTTGTGTTCCTGCTTCTGACAACAGGTCATACCGTAAGTCCTGTTGGTATTGAAGGCAGAGCGCAGCTGCTGTGCTGCAGCTTGTGTTACTGGAAGAAGTATCACCATGCTAGCACGGTATTCGTGCAGGCTGGTTAACCGACATTAAAGAGTTGGGGGTTTGTACTTGGGTGAGTTTCTTTCATCATATGCTTAAGTAGACATTGATTCTGTTGTTCTGCTTCTGTATTCTGTTGTATGTATTAAATACTTGTATCACAGTTGTACCTGGTGCCCCAGATGAAAATAAATACCCTTGGGGCTAGATATTTTACGCATGCGTTTCTTTTTTACTAACAAATAATATTTGTGACATTTATTCAACTAAATATTATGTTTCTTATGTTTGAAATTGTAGCTCTTCCTTTTGATTATTGCACTTGAACTCTCAATGTGTTTGTTGGTTTTTTTTTCTTGTAATGGATGCTTTCCCTCACCATTAGCTTGACATTTCTTCGGCGTAGGATAGTAAGTATCTTCTGACTGGTGGAGCTTGACAGGTAGTAGAATTGTTGGGATGGCATGTTAGATAGTAAAGAATAAAATCTTACAGCTATACCAGTGGAAAGCTGTAAATGGATTAATTGGGGGGGGTTGTGGTTCAGTAAGTCCCTTGGTCAAGACATTGAACTCAGTTCTTAGTGACAGTAACCTCGAATTGCGGAACAATTTGAGTAATCATAGTCTTCATTGACACGTAAATGTTTCCATTCAATAATTCAGTATGTTTTTTAAAAATTGCAAGATTTGCAGAAGACTAGCAGCTAGTGACATGCCAGTAAAACACATTTATAAACTAACATCTACACAGTAATATTTATGTGAACTTCCATACACTTTATTTTTACAGGTGGAAAATATGTTGTACACTACACTGATATTAGCATTTTCTTTTCTGCATAGTCTTTTCTTTCCACTTTGAAATACAACAGTGATAAGTTTTTCTGCTACTGGAGTTCTGGTTTTAAATTTGGGGTTTCTTATAAGGGTGATTCTCTTCTCCCTTCTGTGGGAGGAAGCAGTAAATAGATTATTTCTGTTGTCTCCATTTGATTTGCATGTTTAACTGGTTCAAAGAGAAAATATCCTAAACATGCATTGCAGGATTTTTTTGCATACATATTCAGTGCAAATCTTTAATCATGCATTAAAGTCTGCCATTTAGATCTAATCTGATTGTAGATTATTTTAATTTTTATTGCAAAATCCATTAAACTTTGAAAGCTGCACATCTTTACACTGGTAGTAAAATATATTTGTGGCTTAAAAGTGGGGATAGTGCAACAAAGCCGAACAAATAACATTATGCGATGTCGTTCCTGTTGGGCTCAATTTTAACTTCTCATGTTTCCTATGGCTGTAAGCAGTGTGGTACAGTCTTACAGTCTGTGGGTTTGGGGAGCTCATCCTCGTGATTAAATTCCTGTTCCTAGGAACAAATGAGTTGAATTCCTGTTTTTACCATTGTTTTCTTGCACAATCCTCTAATATTTCTGAACCTGACTTCCTATCCTTAAAATTAGGATATATGTATTTTTGGCAGTTTGCATATGAATCCTAACCAAAGGCAGGTTATATTTGGTGTTATGTGACACAATCAGGTTGCACAGCCCATCTGTTCACAGCTTATCTAGATCCATGCTGATTACAAAGGGAAGAAACTCTGGGAAACATTGTAAACACTGATTTTCAGCAAGTGATGTGGCTAATTGAAATGGTTTTATTTTAACTTTTTATGCAGGTTCATGGAATTGCAGTCCAAAGTGGAAAACTCATTGGTTAGAATTCTGAAAATAAGAGCAAATCTGACAAGCCTACAGGTCTGGTTTACACTGATTTGGGGTTTTTTTTGGTCTGCTTTACACTGATTTGGGTTTTTTTTTAATCTGCTTTTAATATAGGTTTTGAAATAAAAATGAAAATCTTATATGTAGCATTTGAGTTTTAAGAAATAGAGAAGTAAATAAAATTCTTGAAACTGGGCAGGTTTGACTTGGAAACCCAGAAAATGAAAAAAAAAACAGATTATTTTTTTAAAAAAACTAGAGGAATTGCTTTTCCAAGTACACCATTTTTAATTTGTATCACTCCTCATTTTGTACATGAATAAAAGCATATGAAGTAGTTATCAACTATTATTTATAACTTGAAATATGAATTATTACTGCATAGATTTTTATGTCCTTGAAGATTAAATATCTCTTTGTGTTGAAGTGATAGTACTATTTAATTTACCACTAATGTATCATCATTTAATAGTCTGTTTAATACATGCTAAAATGCAAATCACTTGCTGTTTTATTCACATTTAGTTTCCTGAATAAATTTAGCACAAGGTTGGCTGCTGTATATCAATATCTGAGAAATAATTCAGTGTACCAAAGTATTGCATTGATTTTTTTTTACTTGCATATGGGGTCTGAGAATGTTTTATTTGTGAAAAAGACTGATACTAATTTCAAATATTTTAATTGAAATGATTATTTTGAAAACTCTATTGGAAAATCCTTTATATTTCTCATGAGATTGATAGTGTATGTTTTTAGATCCACCATGAAATGCTGAGGAGTGTGTTCAATAGAATCTTAAATGCTTGTAGATTTCCATTTTACTAACATATTATAGCAAGCTTGTACATGTGCCAAGATTGCTTTTCTGCGGATCAAGTGTTAATCTGTTTAAACAGCTGAAGACTTACGAATGAAGCGTAAATAACGAGATTTTTAAGTAACACTTTCAAAGGCACCTGAATGCCATTTTCAAAAGTAGCGTATGTTCTTACACCCTTAAACTTCTTAGTCCCGCTGACTTTCTGTGAGCTGGAGTTTCACGCATCATTTACGGCCTATGAAAAATTTCCAAAAGCCCTTTCTTTCGGATGTTTTTAATAAGTTGTAGATGTCGAAGTAGGTAGTTTGGGAATGAGATTTAACAATGCCTTTAATTATGGTTTTTTTTCCAGGCTTTAGAGGGCAGTAGAGAGCTTGAAAATATTATTGGTGTCTCTGACTTGTCTTGCGTCTTGAGTGCTGAAGTGCTGAAAACCCAAGTGCTAAGTAAGGAGGATTTTCAATAATATGTATCCCCTTTATAACAATTTAACAATGATCACTCCAAACGTTTCCTTGAGTCATACTCTGCTCTGTGGTACCATGGAGCGTTATACCCCAGGACTCTGATGTGAGTTCTTTTGGTCAGGACAAATACACCTTAAAAGTCCTTTGGCTTCGACCCGGGGGCATAAAAGAAAGGCACCCCCATCGGCCCACTCTTCTAACTCACAGGCACAGATGGGGAGGAAAAACCTGCAAGAGCAACACCTTTTCTTATGTAAATAGTTAGATACTTAGTGGGTAGTTAGCTAGTGATTAGGCTAAACGTTTGCACTTTGATTGCATTGCCTTTCTTCTCTTTTTGCGAGGAAGTTGTTTTGTTTGTTTGCCTGTTAGGAGGATTAGACCAAACATAGGTTTCCAGGCTTTAAAAATTGCTATTCATGTGTCTTTAAATGATGGACATACCAGATGCTTATTGTGTTGGGATAAAGGCACTTTACAGATGGCACATCTGTAATACTTTTCCAAAGGAACCCAGAAAGCCAAAGATTCTCATTTATACCTGCCCATTTTAGGAGACTTTTTAGCCTTCCTCCAAATCGGAGGTTCCTGGGACATGTGAATCCGCAGTAGTGAAAAGTGCATTCATACTTCTCTTCCCAACTGCCTCTGCAACTAGAAGGGTAGTCCGTGATGGGGTAATATTCTAATGCAAAAAAACTTATGTTATGGATAATTGCAGGGGAAAAAAAAAAAAAAAAAAGGCTGTTTGCCTTCAGGGAGAAGAAATAAAGATTTCCCTTACCAGGTCATTCCTTTGAGAGTTAAAAGGAGCGAAAGGTAACTGTAGGCACCAAAGGGGCCCCAGTCTTTCTGCTTCAGAACAGTCTGTTCATTTGTTTTCACAATAGCAACACCTTTTACCTGTACCCACATGACATGTTTATGGTACAGGTATGTGTCTGAGACTGCGTTTGCCTACCACTACTTCTCCTCAAAGTTTTGCATCTTTGTTCCTGTAGGCTTTTTGTACCAACCTCTGACAATCTAGTTTCCAGCTGACCAGGGAATATGAAAAATATATGCATATAGATAGTCGCTGTATCCAGTCTCTGGACAAGCATACAAAGATGATAAAACAGTTTCTTAACCTGCAGCAAATGTGATGTTGTGCCGCTACACGTTATTCTACAACCTGTCTGGTTGCTTTGTTTTCTTCAGAGTGTAAAAACACTGCTGTAGGAAAGCAAAACCTAAGGAGACTGTGACTGCTGCTTTGTTTGCAGTTGGAAACGGGTGGACAGTAATGCCACAGGTGCTAAAGAATTTTTGGTACCAAAGAGCACTGAAACTCTTCTAAGGCATTAGGTGCATGCACCCCAGCAGTGGAATTTATGCACCATGCAATTCCAGCAGCTACTGTTGTCTAAATTACCATTTCTTTCCTGATTTGTATTCCAGTGCTCATTCAGTTTTCATTTTGCATGTGTATACACTGTACTAGTTCCCACTGTAATGCATATAACCAGATGCTTTCTTATACAAACCAAAGTTTTGTGAAAATAGTCTGTGTTTACGTTACTACCCTACACTGTGGATAGGGCAGTAAGACTGCGTATCCAGGAGAACGTTGTAAATGATATGTCGGACCTATTGTTGACACTTTCTTTTACGTCCACTTTTTCCTGTTTGCTTCTCATTGCCTTCAAAATGGGAATCATCTTTCCCCCCCTGTCTCTGAATTAGGAACAAAGCACCATGTCAGCACTAGATGACAAAAATGGGAACAAAACATGGTATGAAGCTTGTAAGCACAAGTTCTCAAAATTCTGATCATTTTGAAAATGTTTTGTTATTTTTTTTGACCACAATACATAGATAAGGGGGAGGGGGGTTGCCATCACTTGAAGAAAAATACAAATGCTTTGAAATTGAAAAAATGCAGCACAGCTATTATTTTCTTTGAAATCTCTGGGGCAACATTTATTGATTTCTGATTTATTTATTTATTTGACTAGTGAGTCAAGCCCAAGAACTGCAGCTCTTGAAAAGAAACAATGGAAAACTTCCTGCCCGAGGTAAGAAACTTTTTATAACTCCTGTGTGACAGATGTTTTGGCGATTCCTTTTAATTGATTCCTTCTTAGTTCTTTCCACTTGAAATAAGTTGGGTAACCTCTAGTATGTGAAAACGATGATAATCCGGTGTGTTTGTTGTAAGCATGCAGGCTAGCCTAAACTTTTGCACTACTCACATGTAAGTTTCATCTTTTCAGCTACTTTCATTGTATTGGGTATTTCTCCATCAAAGCGTGCAACGAGAAGTAGTCATTAATGGTCTTGCACTTGAGGCACGGTCTAGAAGTAAGCACAGTCAGGTCCCAGAGAGTTTACATACCTTCTGTGTACGCCGGTTACCCTCATCCTACCTCACTCTCCTCCCTCCCCCTGCGTTTTCAGTGTATAAACCAAGTAGCATAGTCTTTGCAGCAACCCCTTTTTCACCTTATATGTATTGTGAGGTATTTAGCACACTCCAGGGGACTGTGAAATCCTAACTCTTAGGTTTCTTCATAACTGGTGCTGTGAAAATATTTGAAGTTGGTGGCATTTAATATAGTGTGACCCACACAGCCACGTTAGTGCCCTGCCTAGCTGGGAAAGTGGCAGGGGGATACACACAAGACTTTTTTTTTCTCGCACCCAGTAAAATCAACAAACATCCACCACTGATATGCTGATATTTCTGTTATCTTTACGCATTCTATCTTCAAAAAGGGTAAAACCAGAATCAAAATGGGTGACAGCATCTCCACTGCTCTTTCTGCCAGCTTTCCCAACCAGCACGACTGCTTCACATCACTAGCAGCCCCTTTGGTTGTATCTGCTCTTCCACAGGCCTAAATTCTTTCTGCTGCGGAGAATTCTCTTAAAGGAAAGAAAATTGATCAAACTCAAGTTTCCTTGGCTCCAGCAGATTACCATAAAATGAAAAGGAGTGGCATCACTTTCTAAGGAATTTGGCTCATTTGTGCAATCTGCTATTTCTGATTTACAGCTCCCTGTGTCCTTCTGTTCAAATGATCACAGCCCTTCTCTGGCACCGAGAATGGGGAGTGCCATGGGGCATTGCACATTTAAATAGTCATGGCTTCCTTTGTGCACTGCTTTTTGGTGGTCACCAGTATATACATTTAGAGTTCCATCTTTGCTCTAGAAACTAGCTCCTAATGCTAAACATATAGCCAGACTTGTTCGATGAGAAATATTTTGTGAAAGTAGGATGGAAAATAGAATTATAAGTTTAAGTTGACCAATGCCGATTTTGCTTTAATAAAGAATAAATTCAATTTTGGAGTCTTGAAAATACAGTAGTAGGAGAAGCGAAGAAGTATGTGATAAAAGGAAAGCACTCGGAGATGTTTTACTTTGCCTTTTAGTTTTGAATGTGGTTTTTCATAATTATTTTTAATTAGTTATGCTTATGACTGTTCTGTGGCTTGATACAGACGGAATGTCACATTATCATCACATGGTGAGGCATGAAATTTATTTACTTTACATAAACAACCTCAACTTAAAACAACTTAATACAAAACATTCCTTGCTCAATGGGCAGCATTATATAGGACTCAGTATATCATTTTGTGTGACCAACATAAAAAATGGCATCATTGTTTGTCCATGACTAGCATTTACAGTAAACAAAATGTTTTTGAATAGAATGTAAGCAAACTGTAAAGCAACTGCCAAGAGATGAAATCTAGTCAGTATGTTGCAGTCCAAAACATGCTTCATGTGTGTTGAGAACAAATATGTAGGTTGCGATATGCATATTTTAAAGGAAAATTTAAGAGGTTCAGAGTTTCAAGGAGTGAAGATAACGTTCTAAACGGGAAAGTTACTTAAGCTGATTATTACAAATGACACTATTACTTTGCTTCCCAAAAAGAAAAACACGGACACAAACCACGTCCGTGACTCTGTAAGTAAGAAACAACGACAGAGTGTTATAGAAGATCAAATACTTGCAGTGTTAAGGAAGACTGTTTTCAGACTGTATCTTGTAATAAAATGAAAAATACTGTTCTGCGTTGTTGTGCATCCTGCCAAGCCCCTGGGCAAATATCATCACCCCTATTAAGTTTAGTTCTAAACATTCCTAACTTTCATATTGTCTTTAACACAAGTGACTGAAGTTTGTACTCTTTGCAACAGTAGTGGTAGCTTTCCAAAAGACTAGACTAGGGTTAACGAGATAGATTTTTTTCATTTAACACCATTTGAAATGACTAATGAAAGCAAAGCTGGAGAGATGAGGGACCAAGTAATACTGAGTTTCGATTATTTGAAAACTGCGTGTATGTGGTGAAACATAAAACCCTGTTTCAGAAACATGGCAAAATATAGATGCCTCCTTAATAAGCAGAGTTCCTTCTCAAAACAGATAAAATGGTAAGAATACAATATTCCACTGTTTATCCATATTCATGTCAGTTTGAGTTTGGACTTTGTACTGGGTCGTTGCGTACAAGCAACTAAATAGCTTGGCTCTGGACTGCTGGTGGGCTGCTGTGAGTGAGGGTATATCAAGTTTACAATATATTTTGACCTCATTCTCAAATAAAGTAGAATACATTTGTTGACATTTAGACATACTTGGGCGTCTGTCTCCGACCTATCTTTCCTCCTCCTCCTCTTTTGGGATCTTCTGGAGGAGGGGGAAGGGGAATACGTCAGACTTCAGATGTGTGTTTTCAGGAAAGTATCTGTGGATTTTTCTGACTGTAAAAACCCTAACCTAAAAAACACGGGGTCTCAGCTTTGTATCGACTTGCAGGGAAAAAATGTCATTATAGCTTTTGTAGGAAAAGTAAGTCTTGTGAACTGGCTGAGCAGAAATTTATTAAGTGAACTGAATGAGTTCACAAGTAAATTTTTTCAGAAACTGAGTTTCTTTCCAGTTTCCATTCCTTGAGAGCAAATGGAACAAATACCATGATTGCCTTTGCTTACAGCAAACACTCACTTTTCAGGGAAGTGATGAGATGGATGCAGGGATTGCACCTAAGTATGGGACCTTTTTATCCAACAAATCTGTAGACCTCTTTCGTAAGAACCGATACATGAGCTGACTGTAAGGATGAACAATGTGCTCTTGTTTGTGCAAGCCCTCCTTCTAGGCATTTGTGATAGAGGCTTTTCTGAGGTTCAGTTCTTCCATGGTTTTAATCGGTTTGGGAAGAGCTGCTAATGCTGACACAAACAGCAGTTCCTTAGTTTTACCAAAGTCCTTTCGGTTAAACCTTAAACTTTCCAGCAAAAGTTCAACCAGAGCTCTCCAGCAGCCTTTTTGTGGTGTGCATCATCTCTAGAAGCAACAAAGATGACGCTGGACTTTTTTTTTTCAAATAGATTATTATTAGATGGAGACTTAGAGCTTGTGTTTGTGAACGATATGCTTGCTTTGGTTCTTCACACCAAAGGTCTGGTTTGGTGTTCTGCCACGCATCAGAATGTCTGCTCAGAGTTAATGTCCCTGCACGGTGTTTAGAAGAGAGATGATGGACATCGCTGCTCTTTCACTTCAGTCCTGCAGCCAACCAAGATAGGAGTTGCCCTCTTGGCCTACTCGGAAAGGCTGAGAAACTAAGACAGAAATTGAATTAAGCATTAATATTTTCTGAAAATACACTCTTAAAGGCTGCTATCCAAGTTCAGTCAGCCCAGAACCAGAAAGCCTGGATGCCCAAGACTGCGTAGGCCAGAACTGACGCTTACGCAGACTAGATCTGGAGTGCATACCCGCCTTTACCATGGGGCAGAGAACCCTTAGGCCAAGAGTCCTCTCGTGGCCAGAGGTGGCACGAAGGGGCTGCTGTTGGGCAGTCCGTTGCAGGATTTCCTCTAGCAGAGCGGTCACCGTGACTGGCACGGCTTATGTCCTTAAGGTGCGGGTGAATGGCAGAGAGTAAAGAGAGAGGTTGTGCGGAGGCACTGCGCACGTTCCCAGCTGGTAGGTGATTCCTTGGAGCTGAAACCAGCCGATGGAAATGAGCGTACCCTTTCAGCAGTGTGTTCTATGTCATCGGTGAGACAGCCTCAAGGAATCCTGACCGTGTTTATGTGGTGCGGGAGGGAGCCTGGCCTTGTTCATCTGCTCCTCCGTGTGGAAGACCTATCTGTATTTCTGCTCATGAGGACTTTTCTACAAGTAGACATGGGGAAAAGTTAATCTCGGTTATGTTTTCAAGTTATACCTCAGTGTGAACCCTTGTAAATGGGACTGCATTAGGCAAAACCGAATTAAAACTGCTTTGGTGCTGAACGTGTGAGTGTGCGTGTGCACACAAGGACTTGGTGCAACTCATCTGTTTTGCTTACTCAAAAGTTATCTTGAATGTTCCCAAGCAGGGAAATCGTTCTGCCCTCCTGCACTGACAATCAGAACTATTTGTGAGATTGCCCCGGAGGGCACCTGGAGGAGGAGTGTGTTGTATTCTAATCGGTACGGTGTGGGTTGTTGCTCAGGCTAAATTTGACCATACGTCGTCTTTTAGTTTGTAACCATGCAAAGCCCTTTACAGTCTAGTTGAGGTAACAAAGCCCCCTTAGCCTGGTACCCAAAATCTGCAATGCGAGTGATTTTCCTGGGACTTTCCAGAGTGCTACTGAAAGGTAAAGGAGCTGGCGGACAGGTCTCTGTGTGCCCCCCAAACGCCGCGCTCTTTCCCAGCAGGTGATGGGTCTGTTGGATTGTACCTGCACCTTTGGAGTGCGTATTTCAAGATAAAGCGTGAGAGTTGAGAATTGTCTGGGTCTGAGGTCCCTGAGATGATAAGCTTTTTGGATAGAAGGAAGGGGGCAAATTACAAACCTCTCCGATGATTTAACATCCTCTGCTATGTAGATGAAATATTAAGCTATTAACTTTTGTGGCAGATACAGAAATGCACATGAGACATATGACTATAGGCCTCAGACGTATATACATATAGAACTGTCAACCTGCATTTTATATTTAGGTGTCAGCCATATTTATTCATGAATTTCACACTTGTGTTTATACTCTATTTTCCTGTGTACCTTTTTACAGATGCAATAGCTATTAATTTTTAATTCTAGCGGATCTAGACTTTCGAGTATTAAGCTTAATGAAAAATTAAAAAGAATTGTAGTTCTTTCAACAGCTACATGTAGCAGCTCCTACATGAGAATAAATACTTCTTTCTCCCATGAATATAATTATTTTAAATAAAAAAGAAAAGAAACATTAGTTTGGACTCACTTAGTAGCAATTATATGTTTAAGAGGTGTAAATAACTTGCTACCCAGACATTACAAATATCCAGGTGCTCTGTATGTGCTGATGACAACAAAATTGAAAAGAAAGACTGTAATAATTCTGACTGGTTTTCTCTGCAGAAGATATTGATTATTTGTGTGTGGTGAGAGATTTGGAAAATTCAATTAAAGGAGTTGTGCAAAGGTTTCATAAATTTTCCTTGTACAGCGTGTACACAGACATTGTTGCGTATTAAATCAATGCAGCACTTCACAATATATTTTCTTTGAAACATAAAAATAAATAACATTTAAACAGTTCTGCTTACTACAGAAACAAATTTTATTTTCTGTGAAGCATTTAGTCATGTGCTATCACTGACTCATACACATTTGCCAGCTGTAACAAATTTTATAGACGTTTTCTCCAGAGACATAGCTCATATACTATGAATTTTTAAATGAGCAAATGGTGAAGAAGGGATGTCAGCAATATAAAAATTGATCAGTTAAAAGATAAAAGCATAAGTAAAGAGATTTGTATGGTAGTCTTAATAGGTTTTATTAAATAAAAATACTATAAAAAGACAGTAATGAATAGACTGAAGGTTTTAACTGTGGTTGAGGTGGAGAAAAATTATTCTGGCACATTTAGTAGAAGATTGGTTTTATATCACCTGACAGGTGAACATTTTTTTTCTCTCTGCTTTTTAGATCTGTAATTGTTTTAGAGCAGTCAAACTTGCGAAAGAATGGCAGTGGAAGTAGGAGAGGAAAAGAAACTTGGGAAGATTCTGCCCTTTTAATGCTTTTGCGGGCCGGGGACAGGAGACGCCACGGCAAAGGGCAGAAAGGCTTCTACCGACCCGTCTGCACCTGGGTGAGGTTTCTGGTGCCTCTCCAGCTGCTGCCTTACCCTGTGCACCCCTAAAACACTGAGCTGGTGGGAGGAGAGCAAGGGCAGGCTGGTCCTGAGCCCAGGCAGCGCTTGTGCCGCAGTCAGCTACAGCCCAGACGCCTTTCTGGTCGCCTCCACAGACCCCTTCCTTTCCTAGCTGCTCTGGCCACAACAGATTTTCACACAGAAGTTTGGCTACTGTCCGCCTTGGTTTTATGTAGTTTAACTTACTTAGGATTTCCGCATATAAAAATATCAAGAGGGAAAAGGGTTGTTAAAGGGGTTTTTGTCTGTTTTGTTGGGTTTTTTTAAAAGCAACTCATTATCTTCATTCGCTCTTATGTAAAACCTAACCAAAACAAAAACCAAAAAAGCTTAAACTGCTACAAGCAGCGTTGGATATTTTTTGAGCATGAGTAGTAAATCGCATTATTTGATTATTTTAATATCTAAATCTTAATGCCATCTGTATAAATATCACTATAAATAGGACTGTTTTGTCAAAATGTGCTGTCACGGTATATGTTTGGAAAGGAAGTTCAATTAATGATGTTTTATATGAATCTGGGCAGTTTACCTTTGTTTAAGACAGCTTCTCGGAGTGAAGTGCAGATCGTGGCATGGTCGCTTTGGTGTGGGGGGGTTCTTTAAGGACTGCATAGTCAGAATGCTGCAATCGGCGATTAAAAGGTTTATAAAGACTGAATTGGGAAATTGCACTTAGCACAAAGAAACTGAAGAATAGCGACGTGCCATTAAATGTCACTCTTTTTCTCTTACGTGTCATACAAGGCTGGGCAGTTTCCCATTTTAAGCAATAGTGGTAGGTTTTTGATGGTAATCTGTGTAAACAAATAGTGTTTATTAGGTATAATGCTGAAAAGTTGTACCTGAGGCAAAGTTGAATTGGATGCTTCTTTTATGGAGTGACCCTATTAAGACCTAGCTTAGGACAGAATTTCGGGCTTGGTCTAGGTCAGCTCCAGGTAACATCACTGGCACCTCCTGTCAGCTCCACGGGCAGGAATTCTGCGTCACATCACGTACAGGGAGCGTGTGACACCTAAGGAATCACAGCGTGCCACATAAGGAGAACGGAGGAACTGAGGAGAATCTTCCCCACCACCACCCAGGTCTTCGGTGGCTTTGATGCCGCTCTCCATGTAGGTTTATCTGCAGCCCCTTTCCTCATAGTAGGAGTCTTTAGCTATAAACCGCTGTAAATATCTGTTTGTTTTTCTCAGTATGTTTAATATAAAGCGAAGAATTCTGAATTCTCTCTTCACCCTTTTGTGGTGGTGGGATCAAAATGCAGTACGAACCATCAGCAGACACTAAAGGCTACTGAGCCCGGAGCTGATCATCTGCTGCAGAAAGCCATTTGGAAATCTTGGCACTCGGATGCACCTGCTTCCAGACCCTTTCCCTGTATGTTCTCATTCCCGGAGTTCCTTTCTACCCTTGCACACTTTTCCCCTACTTCTTCCAGCCATCTGCTCAGCCCTTCGCCCTGGCCCTGCCCTCCGTGAGGAGGGGGCTCAGGTGTGGTAGCCTCTCTTTTTGCCATCCCCTCGGAGGACTCCGGGGGTGGCTGTTCCTCTCATGCAGTCCTTGACTGGATTCTGCTGAATCTGCTGATATGGTCTTTTATTCTTTTATTATTAACAGCAAAAAAGAAGGACCACCTTCTAATATTCGTAACGCATTCTGTCATTGTTGGTAATGATGTAGCACGTGTGCATACACTCATTAGTAATTAGGACAGTCTCCTAAATTACTGTTGAGACACAGTAGCTGTACGAAGTGAAAGGGGTTCTGTTAACCACTGCAGTAACTTATTTAACTCATATTTGTGTGGGATTTTCACAAATTCTGTAAAAAACATTGTTGTGTTTATCAAAATTGTGTTTCCTCCTCCCCAGCGTACGTTCAGACCGGCAGTAGCTCTGCGTTCCTGAAGTCGCTCCTTGACTGAGGTAAGCTGCCCCTCGCTGCTGCGTGCCTTCCCCAGCCGCCACGCACGGGCAGTATAATTTTAAGGACTGAGGTACTTAATTTTCAAATGTTTGCAGAGTGATGGAGTATGTAGGCCTGCAGTAAAGACTCTTAACAGCTTGATGGGAAAACGGTTGCTACTCTGCATGTGGTATTTCCCGTTACTGGTTTGTTAAGCAAAATGACGGACTGAATCTGTAGAAACATCTGACAGCATTTCTCCTCATCAGCGCTGTCAGTTTCTAACCGGATGTTTTTTCAAGAACGGCAATTCAGCTGTAATACATGGAACGAAAGCAAGAAATTTTGGGTACTTCGGATTATACCTTCTTAAATGCCAGGAGCGATGCCCCAGAATTCACCGAGGAGGTTGCCTGCTGCAGCCCCGTGGTGCTGTTGATGACAGGGGTGCATGACAAAACCGGTTGCTTGTATCTTTCATAAAGTCTGGTGAGACAAAGCACTCTCTAAAAATGAGAATGTCTGCAGATTATATCAATTCCCTGTGTAGTGTGAGAACATCTCTCCTTTGGCAAGTTAAAGTAGTCTGTCCTGTAATCCAGGAATGTGAGAAAGTAGATGTAGAGGTTTTACGTGCCATATAACGGAGTTAGTGCAGGGCTGAGCTCAGGCACAGGCATTTTGCTTCTCCATGAAGGTTAAATTTTATTTCGTAATCACAAGTAACCTAGTAGCAAAAAAAAGCTTTCAAACCCTGCTTGTCCACAAGCTAACGTTACCCCTGTATTTATTAGCTGCTTCTGCCAGAGATACTTTCTAGTCCTTACTCCTTCCAAACCAGCTACCGCTCCAAAGGCTGGGAACAGAGTAATGGAGGGACGGAAACCAGTGCAGGAGAGCCCAGCATCCTGCTTAGCAGCTCATTTTCACCATTCAGCATAATTTCGGAGTCCTACAGAATGCAGACAGCAACTGTTCTATGGTACAATAACCAGTTTAAGTCAAGTCTTACACTGGCTCATTTGCTTCAGCTAAACTCATCCTGACCACAACTACAGGGCTTCAATTTGACATTAGCTCAGAGGGCGCTCATGTCTCTACTATTCCATGGTATCGTCAGTGAATATTGTGTTTGCACTTTATGTCCAAAAAAAGACACATTTACTTTTCCTGGTTCTCTCTATCCCTTCCCAAGTGTGACCAACACTGTAAAGCCCTTTGCTTTTTTATTGTTTAAAAAAACATCTAGTTGTGATAGCCAAATGATCTTTTAGCAATTATTTCTCAACTTTTTTCTACAGATAAAAACTACAGCATTTCCTCTTAGAGTGTTACTGCAGTTCAAGGGAGACCCCCTGTTGCTCTGCATTGCCTTAGGTTGTGTCTGTGTCTGTATTTTTTAATTCAGTGAGACGAGTACTGGACATAGGACAGACATACAACTCTGACCAGATCACATGAACGATGATGCCGTTGTCTAATTGCTATTTATTTTAGTCATTCCTTATCTCCACACAGGCATTATGTGAAAAATGCATTCCGCATCAACCCAAAGTTCTACATCTGCTTGACTGTACTTAAAAGGCGAGAAGAAATGCCTGTAAACCTATCTCCCCAGCAAATACCAGTTCGGGATGGCTCGTTGCGCTAGGCAGGTGCACATCTAGATAAAATTTCTGGCATCTATTTAAACTTAACAATGTGCACAACCAGATAATCTCAATGCAAATAATACAGCGTGGGCGCTTTATGCAAGCGCGTGTGCAAAATGCTGATTTAGGTTTGCTGCTGCATGGCAAATGAACTGTATTTTCTGTATGTTCTTACTATAAATACATAATTATGCTGCCTTGTGTGTTGGTTTGTGTTTGTTTGTTTGTTTTTTAAAAAGGCGATATAACCCCTCTCCAAGAACTGGGTGAGAAGCAACTATGTTAAAAGCTGAGTTTTGGCTGCCAGGCCTCCCGTGGGAAACAGTCGCTTCCAGCCAGGGTGAGGTGAGGGGGGCACATGCTCATTGACTCGATTCATACTCCCCCAAAAGCCAGCAAAACGTGATTTAAATGACTGCATACAGTTTTGCGACAGCCTGCCTAAAAAATTATGACTTTTTCTAATGACGATTTGGCTCAAAAGATAGAGGATGCTCTATTGTGTAAGGAATTGTTCTTAGTGCTGAACATGCGTTAAGTTGTTTACAAACGACAGTGTCTGTGGCTGCCACTGTTGGGGACCTGTTTGTCACCTGTGAAGATGTCTCTTCTAAAGTCAACCCAAGCCCCACTCCATAACAGTATCGGCTTCAAGCCCACAGCGTTAAAACACACAGCTCTAATAACATTTGCTTCTGAGGTTAACATTCTAGTTTAGTTTTGGTATTTAATGGTACATGGGGCGAGCTGTTATAGAACGGTTTCTTCTCTTGTTCATTATCCTCACAACCACCTCAAATACCCTCGTCTCAACCCGGTGAGTAAACTGCAGCTTCTCTAATGTTGAAAGAGGGCAGGAGAATGATTTTTTTTTTTTTTTCTAGAGAGAGAAAGTTAAACATAAATGCGCACAATTGAATGGCCTTTCTACCACTGCGAAGTACCGCTACTGAAACAGATAAACAGGTTTTTACAACTAAAATTTTGAGAACCAAAATGATAAATGTGTTCCGTATACACTCAAACTTTAGGAGTTTTTAATTAATAAAAATGCTTTTCCACTTTAATACCTGTGCAGTCTGATTGGAAAAGATATTTGTAATTGAAGGGAACTGTATCAGTTACTCTCTTTAATTTCTGCACCCTTCTCATTTAAGCTTTCTCTGCAGTTGGTGGGTCGTTGTTTGTACAAGCCTCACCGGCTGATTGCTTTGTATGACAACAGAAGGTTTGCCTGAACCAGCAATAGTTTATATAACCTGATTGCAACCGCTGTAGCTGGAAATTAAATAATTATTGATCTGAAAAGAGTCTGTAGCTGAACTGTGTGCCAGTCTGAATCACGCTGCTCGGTGTAGTCTTAGAACAAAATAAAGCTTGTGATGAAAATAACAGTAAAGGTGATGATGGATGATTAGAAGATAC